TTTTTCTGAATTGCAATCTGTTCATGCATTCATGGACTTGGTCTTTAATCAAAAAATCATTAAATGTTGTAACTGAATATAATGAATGGTTAATAACAAACAGAAAAAGTACTTTTAAAGTTAAATGTATTGAATTAATGATTGAATCCTTTTATTCTCCATTAATTCTTACATAAATTAAATTTAGTTACTTAATTTAATGTTGGATTTGTTTACACATATATCATAAATATTATAATTCATTTATGGTCACTCAAATAATACTAATACAGAAATTAATTTAACATAATCTTAGAATGAAATAATAATTGATACTAATGATAATTAATTAATTGATTGATTTTATGCCTAAATTTAGATGTGAAAGTTTGCCATATCTAATAATGGCTATTTTTTTTTATCAGTTTTGCTGAATGGGCAAAGAAATGTGTAAATTTATATTAATTTTACAAATTTATAATTTAATTAAATGTAATGTAACTACTGCCTCAAATTTCTTCTTAGGCAACTACTTAAAAGCAGTTTTTTCGACATATCCTTTAATTTGATGACCTTTCTTGGCTTTGATTAGAATTTAGTGATGAGCATCTGAAGTGAATCAGAGTGATTCTTCGCTTTTCCAACCTAATTACAACTCGCATTTAACAAGAAATTGTATACATCAATGAAGACGAAACAGAATTTTCTTACGTTGTGAAATGTCATCAGTTTTCTGAAATCATATTTTCTTCAGTGTCTCACACATATGAAATTACTTTGGCACTGGTTCTTTTGACAATGAATTATGTGCACTTCATCTGTCTAGTAATTAGTTGAATGTTATTGTTTACTTATGATGTAATGTACAAATATCATTATTTTTATTATTATTATTATTATTATTATTTATATCATGTTCATATGCATACTGGTGAGCTGGGCACATTTGTGCCTTCCAAATTGTTGACTGACTAATGGCTACAAAAAAACATTTCTGGACTCTGGACATTTGACGATGTTACACTCTCTGTTGAGTGTCGGTGGCAGTCCAAGTGGAATGCAATTTGTCGTACATGTCTTGTTGTGGTCATCATAGAATTGCGGTCTCCATACAAACATATTTTTTTCCAAAATCGCCTAGTTCATCTTAGTTTGTCAAAACCACCTTTTTCTGCAATTTTTTTACATTTATATAAAAATCTCTATCCTGTAGGCCATTGCAAATTATTTCTTCAAACACCCCTTCAGTGTGAAAAACCTTCTGATCAAAAAATATTTTTGATCAAAGGGTTAAAGACTGGTATATATTTTACCAAACTAGTCCCAACATAACATCAAAATCGTATTAGAGAGATATAGATATAATTATAAGAGCCAAGAAGACAGAACTAGCATATGCTGATGTCAAACAGCCATCATTAGGAGACAAGGCATTGTTGATGTCTGTATTTTTTTTCTTTTAAAGTGATGTGGCTTTAGACTAATGGTGCTATATGCTGTTGTCTCTATTGTGTGACTCACTGGCTTTTATTGAACAAAAGACAATATTTCATATTGGTTTTTGTTTTTTAATGCATGACTCAAATGGAGATTATTATGAGGTGTGAGTTACTGGATGGTTCAACCTCATATAATGTGATTCTTATATAAAAATAAAATTATAGAAGAAACAGGCATCATATATATGTATACCGTCAGTGAAGTTAACTTTAAATGGTGTGTTAGTTTCTTATATTATGAGAATAAATTTAATCGTGATCGTTAATTACATCCCATAATGAAATTTAGTGAATCAGAGTTTCAGAAGTAAAGAAAACATAATCGACACTATCTATCCCAGAATCCAATTGCAGTACTCAGTATTGACTATTTAAAAAAAAAAAAAAAACTTACAAAAAGTAATAGATGTACTTTTTCTGGAATGTTATTACTTGGTTTTGTTTATCACTTCATAATTTCCCTAAAGAACATCACATGAATTTATATAGAATCTTATTAGTTCTTATTAATCATTATGTCTTAGGCCTATCCGTCATTAATGCTATTCTTATACTCCTTTGCTTCTGCTGCCTGTGTTTTCCCTTCGGGATTTAACTCCAGTGGAGATTACACATCTTCACATGTATAGAAATTTATTGTTGGTGTAAAGGTCTCTGCTTGCCACATATGAAACAAATAAATAATATATGACCTGTTATTTATTGGTGATATGTTAGGAGGAACTTGAGACCAACAAAATCAGTAAGCATTGCTATGTTTACACCATATAGCAACATGGCATGCTAGTAGTAGTACAGAGGATTTCTAAGAACATTATTTTATTTAAATTATTCTTTGAATCAAAACTGTTTTTAATGGTAGTTCTGAAATAGAACTTTCTTGGAAAGAAATTATTTCATTAGCATAGATTAAAGATATTCATTTTCTTATTTTCTGTTACAAATTGATCTTATTTTGTTGTTGTAAATTCGTGTGTACACTCTCTGTTTGATAATATTAATTATTTGGTTGTAAATTATTTAAAGTAATGCTTTTAAATGTAGACATATATATTATTATTTTTGAACAATATTTGTGAGGATACCATTCTAATTTTGGAAATAATCACTATTTATTTCCCTAAGAAAATAAATAAAGTAATTGAACAATAACTTTAGGATCTTTATATCTTATTTATTAATTAATAATAACTGTAAAGTAATTCTCTGCATTTGTTTACAAAAATTGTTATAAAGGTTTTAGTATTTTAGTAACTTTTTGGTAAAATCTGTAAAACTAACAAATAATGGAATTTTAGTAATCAAGTCATCAACTCAATGAGACAGATACAGATTGAAACAATTAGGCTTTTACTAATTTGAACATTTGACATAAAAACAAATTTTAATTCACCACTTGCTAAGTGTCGTGCAAAGACTATAGCAAAACATGTTTATGTGTATGAAACTATTTTCTTATTTTAAATATTTAATGGAGACTATATTATAAAAAGCCATGTATTCATTCAAATATTGAACTGAATTGTTCACGGTTATTAACCCAACATAAAAACTTAATAATAATATTCAAACATTATAAAAGCAATATTCAAAGGACTTTTAATAGTGCAAGTACTGTATGTATATTTTCAAAAGGAAGCTTCCTTGGGCGGATTTTATGCACTCAAATATAAGGACAAAGGAAACCAAACAAAATTCTGTGACCTCGAATAATTGAATCAATATCTAAATTTGAATAAATACCATCTACAATTACATGTCTATGGACAAATATGTAACATCCCAACGTGTTATAAAAAAAAAAAAAAAGAACCAGTATGTAACTCTTTTCTTTTAGCTAAAAATGTTTTGTTTTGTCTCATAAAATCTTGGAACATTCCAATTGAACAAATCATTTTAAAGGATCAATATAAAATAAGTATAATACTAAATGTAACAGAGACAGGAAGGTAAATATGTGGATATGTAATTGATTGGTAAATCAAGCTCAATTTCTGTATTAAACAACATCATTTATCGAAAAATAATTCATTTTCCTCTGACTCAATTCACATTTATTTAAGAATATTTGACACACTTTCTAATAAAAATTCAATACATAAATAATTTTTTATTTTCATTTTTTTTTTCAAAAAAGGTAAACACTAATTTAATAATAATAAGAAATTTCATATACAGTAAAAGGTAAATATGTAGATATCTATAGGACAAAGATTGATAATACCAAGCTAAATTTATATGAATGTCATTTATTGAAAGATAATTAATTTCCCTCTGATTCAATTCACATTTATTTAAGAATATTTGACACATTTTCTAATTAAAATTCAATACATAAATTGGAAAGCTCACTGTTCATTTTTTTTTCTAAAAAGGAAATCACTAATCTGATGACAAGGAATTTCATGAAGGATTGGAAAATATATCATATAAAATTTGTATGTGCTATGAGTAGTAATAAACTGGTTTATATTTATCAGCATTTTCCTATGAATAGAATTTTTTAATATTGTAAGTGTATTTCAACAACTTGAAAACATCCATTGTAAAATAGCATAAATAATAAATTATAATCAGTATCGTACTTTCACATATTTTACAAAACTGCTATTCCATATTTTAACATTTTCATGCGATTCATAATACTAATGTGCTGCATAGTGGTGATTTAAAAAAAATATTATTTGTGTATGTGATTGAAAGCTTTTTAAGAACTTAGGAGAGTAAGGGGAGGTGGATTGATTAAGACCCGTTGATTGCTCTGCCGAATGCTTAACACATTGATAACCTATGACCTTGCCTACTCCACGTCCTCCGAATCTCAAGCAAAGTTCTGTATGTCAATTTTCTAGAATGACTGACATTTGAAACATTTTTTTAATTGATAAGTCTCTGTGCTTATATAAAATATAAATAAATAAGTAGATTTATATTATTCAATTTCATTCTATGCTGGTGCTCGTCATCGCCTGTTCAGCATCTGGACGAGTGTGTGCTTCGGTCAACGATGCATTTATATTTTTTAAAGTAAATGAATGTTGGAATTTTAAGAACCTAGAAACTAGATATACACTGTGTGTGTGTATTTGTTTTATATTTTTGCTGCCAAAGGAAGATGATGATTGAGTATTTTTAGGAACTTATCTTTGTACTTGATTAGCTCATATTTTTGTTCTTGATTTATTACTAAAATATTTTACTTAAAAACAGTTCAAAGAGAATAGCATCCATGTTTTGTAAAAGCCTTCTCTTATTGTATCTGATCTAATTGGGCATATCTTCTGATTCTGGTAAATGCATAATGCATGCATATACTGTTTATTTTTCTCTTTTTAATGGGACTTACATTTGGTTAATCACAATATTAGTAATGAAAATTTAACATTTTGGTACAGATATTGATGAATTTTTAGTTATATGCATATGGTGGTATATTTGTAATTACATTTTGAGTTAGAATAATAATTAATTGCGTACGATATATTAGATGTGTTATAATACCATCTAATTTTATCTTTATAGATTGGACTTTTGATGCACCTCACCAACATCTAGACCTTGTTACTTTTGGTGATTACAAAAAACCTTTGATAAAATATGTTGAAAAGCTTGCTAATGTGTGCTTTATAGTTTATTGTATACATCCAACAGGGGACGTGAGAATCGGAAATATTACTTTTCTCAGCAATTTTACCAATTGACAATAAATTCATGTGTTTTTAACTTGAATTTATCTAAGTTAAAATTGATTTATATGTTAGTTACTCAAAGATATTTCAAAATTCTTATCATGATGGTGGTTAAAGTTTCAACAAAAAAAATTTAATATGAAGGTTGTAACTACTATAGGAAGAAAAGGTTACAAAACCAAGATGGACTTTCTTAGAGTGGATGTGTACAATTAGCCTAGTTTAATGAAAATGTTCTCATTTATCATGTTTATTATCATTGTATTTTGGTCATGTTATATCTGGACATCTTTTTGGGCTGAACATGTTTCTATTTTTAAATTAATATTCACACTTTATTTGTGACATACACACTTCTTGCACCTCCCATTGGCACTTATTACTCAGTATTTTACACTTTCTTTCGATGATTTCTGTTCCTCCATTTTCCCTTCTCATTTTAAAGTGGTATTTTTCATAGATGCTATGAAATATCGGTGTGCTCGCTCATCTATGTTTTTGCTAGCAAAGTAGATTAGTAGATTCATATGTATGTATCTTGTGCAGAATTCTTTAAGATGATTCGGTAATTTTGTTGAATATATGTTATGTTGTTGCGGCATAGCTATCATCTATTTATAGTAGCCTGGTTTTCCATAAATCTTTCGAGTGTTTGAATTAGAGAGATAGTTGGTGACAATTTAAGCGTAAGTTAGTTTAGATGATAAAGTTTTTTTTTAAATTAGCCACTTTCCACAGTGTTCGATTCATGTCTTTGTATTTGGCAACTTATGTTTTAAAATTAAAATCTTTGATATAAATTTTTTTTTCCTACATATTTTATTTTAAAATTTTTTTTCTAAGAATTATTCCTTATTTAAAATAAACTTAACATAGTTAATTTTAATGTACTTAATTTTGTTAGTGTGAAAAATATTTTTTGTTTAAAGAGAACAGAAAAGATGAGTTTCAGCAGAGTGTCATTGACTAGTAATTAGCCAATAAGCAGTTCCACAGTTAAAGTTTTAAAATAGATGATCTTGAAGCCAATCGCTTATGGTGACATTTATAATTTGTATTTCTAAATATAGCACTATTTGGACCTATTGGTAGATAATTTCATTACCAATTCAAACTTGACTAAATTAAGTATAAAAATTCTGGTATACAGATAAAGATTTGTTTTTAAAGTAGATCATATGAAGTTTTATAACCATTTAGAGAAGGATTTGATATGGCAGCAAAGGTCAAATTTTTGTAATTGTAGCTTAGCAAATTACTAATTATGTGTATTTTTATATCAGATGTGTTTTGTCAATAGCACTATTGGTATTAAAATATATTGCTGTGTGTACGTGACTGATATACATTTATGCACTTCAGTCTTCTTGCTGATTCATTATTTTTCTTATTAGATGATGATAAAGCCTTGAGTGCATCTCATAATGCCATCTAATATATAAAATATAATAATATTACAATTTATCATGAAGAAGAATTTATCATGAATGCACAATTTTTGAGATTTTATTGATGTAATCTGAAATTATTAATTTCATAGCTGATTGGGATTATGTTAATGAATTAAAATACGTAAATGTAAATTAATTGACTGAACGTTCACAGCAATTGCATTAAACTGTGCAATGATCTTCCATGATTCAACGTGGTAGTTCAATTCTCTCATCAGTACTTGTCAAACACTCCTTAAAATATTTCTTTTCAAATCGCCAGATCTCAGAAAATAAAATCAGACTTAATGGATACCAGCTGGGGTACATAACATCCAGATTCCTCAGTTAGTGGAAAAGGTCTAACCTCCATAACTGGTTGGGTGCTAGCTCGGTGTCTGTTGATAAGTGGCACATTAGAAGTGCTTTATTGTTATTATTAAATTATTCCTATATTTATGTTTGGAAATTCAGTAGAAGTTACAGGTAGCTTGGTGGTTAAAGATGTTTCCCTTCCAATTCCAGGAGAGGGCGTTCAAATCTTGGCATGTCGAGTGAGTTATTATGTGACTAAAATCTATTGCGCTGCCTAAGCCACTTTAGGTGAATATCATGGAAGTTAGTTTAATACAAACAATACTATAATTCAAAAATTATTTATGGTATTTTGAGATCAGTTTCATGATAATAGAAGTTGCATTTTAAAATTGTACATAGATAAATATCCTTCATTTCTTTTTTCTAAGGAATATTCATCAAGGCTGATGATATTTTAAACAACCTAATAATTTTGATTAAAGAAAAGTAATAAAAACACGACAAAATATTATAAGAAATAGATGAGGAAACCTCAAGGTCTTATTCCATTATTAGAGAGACAAATTTCTGTACAGATCTCCAAGGAACTCATTTAATCATATGTAAAATTAACAAGACCATATATCAATAACTTCATTAGACCGTTTATGATATGCAGAAATATGCATCCACAAAGCCAGGTTACAGTACTAGTGTACAACATAAGACATCATGCTGTGTACAAGCTGTTGTTAATCATATTCGTCTTTTTGAAAGTTGGTTTGTAATAACATTTTTAATGGTACACTTTGTTTTGTGACCTAGAAAATAATAAATTAGAAACAACAAAAACTTCAGTGCTTAGCACAAATACTAGTTACAGTGAACAATTTATTCTGTGGTCTGGAAAATTATTATTTAGTATACTTTTATAACTTTCAAAATGTATTACATAGACTTCTCAAAAAAAAAATCCCAGGTTACAGGTTCTTTACACAACCATTACAAGTACAGTACTGCATTATTTCCAAGCCTGGAAACCACTCCATTTCCTAAGCCTCAAAAATAGATATATGAATTGATGATTGAGGTAAAAATAGTGGATCAATAGCAGATAATGATTTTTTAGAGGATTATTATGATTTATATTCCACTATTGTGGTGTATTTTGGAACACCTATGCGGTGGTGGAATCTTAATTGCGGGCAGGTGTAAAGTGAATGTCAAAGTGAGCAATTCTATTGATGTAGTATTTTCTGAATTAATTGTAATTTTTCACCCGGAGGCGCTTTTAATTTTTTGTTTATTTGTCATTTTTTTCCCCTTGGAATAAATTATTTTACTATTAGTGAATAGTGAATAATGGAGACAGGTTACTGCAAATATACCAATATAGTTAGCTTAGCTATACAGTGCACTGTATAGCTAAGACCCTTTGGGTTATGGAGGATATATTCTTTAAGAATTTGCCTTTATTTTATTGCATTCAAAAGTAAGCTTAACACAGGGATGGCAACAAACTATGACACACTGAATTTGTATGTGGGACCAGGAGAAGATTCATTATGTTTCTGCGAGGGACAGATCATGTGGACAGGAAAGGTTATTTTCTAAATGAAAGTAATTAGCAAAGAGCTACCTCATCCATTATATCTTAGTGGTAATTCTTCATATTTTTTTTACAAGGTGCATTTAACTTAAATATAATATTCAGGGAAAAAAGGTCTATTGATATTTATGTGAACATGTTTTCCTTAGATTTGACTTGTGACAGCCCACCAAAATATGGGCCCAATGGTGATTCCCTACCTTCATTCTGTGTTGGTAGGCCAGATGAACAGAGCTAATATTTTCAACATTTGCAAGATCTTCATCGAGAGCAGTGGCATATCTACGTGGGGGCTTCAGGAATGCATTTTCAACTTGCGTCCACCCCCTCCCTTCTCCCACGCACCTTACTAGTAATTTGCTGAGCCAAAAAATACTCTCAAGTAGTTAAATATCACCTTACGTTACTAGCTAACGCCCCTCGCTTAATCTTCAAGCCCCCTACTTAACCTTCACACCTCCATTAGTCCCCATGTCAATACTCAAGGCACACCACTGTTGCAGAGTGAAATGAAAACTCTCCGTTTGAATATTTTAGGTCATTAAGTATTCAACGGTGCATCAAATTATTGAACGCTTTGTAATTAATTATATTGTATCTTCATTACAAATTCACACTTTGATCTAGAGAATAAGATGAAAAAAAATCACAAAAAAAAAAACTTTGTCAGGGGGTTTGTTTGATGATATCGAAGTTAATAACACAAAGAGTGGATGGATCTGTTACTCCAGAATGACTTTTAAAAGTAGAAAATTAATATTTGAACTTTTGCTATTTGTTTAATAAAATTAGAATTGATGACTTATTTGTGGAATAACATTGAGTACAAAGTCATTATAAACAAACAATTTTAGAGGTGACATTTAGAGGGCACACACTGCGTCGACTGATTTCTGCTGTCTGTGAGTGCTGATGACATGACGGCGTCTCCTGATTTTTCGGCGGCAGTCTAAGCAATTTGTTCTTTAAAACTAATCATTGAGCGTGCCCACTCCCCGCCGAACCGTGTCAGCCGACAGCATTCGGCACAATGTGTGTCCGGCATTAAAGTCGGGTGTTTGACCCTTCATCTTGTCACTTGCTTTTATCTGTGGTCAACACACTTTGTCTGGTAGGTTTGGATACCAAAGCATTGATTATCAGCGGCCACATTATTGAATAATCCCTCATTGAGCCAAGATAGTTTTATAAGCATTTTTGTTCCAATGGCAAATACCATGAGGACTTGGCATGTGTACTACGCTAATAGCATGCTTATTTTTACTGTACTATGTTTTTTCTTTTTCAAAATATACATGTATGAGAAAGAATTAATAAATTATAATTTGTATTTTATATTTAATTTTTAAATACTTTCAGAATTTTATCCCTTTTATATTAATTTCTTTATGACAAAAATCCTTATTATCTAATTGATTTGAATAGATTATTATACAATAATTATGCTGCAATAAACCTATTTAATTAACAACACAATTTATCCTGTAATTTTTATATTAAACTGCTTAAAACTGTTTTTTTCCCCTTCATATTTCAAAATTTTGT